TAGTTAGTTAGTTAGTTAGTTAGTTAGTTAGTTAGTTAGTTAGTTAGAGTTAACATATTGTATTTAGTTGAGCAAATCAGCAGTTGGAACACAGGATGACCAAGCTATCATTCATTAGCTACTTTTATCTAATATTTTGTTGCTTTTAGATTCTAGCTACTATTTAGCTTTTTTCAGCTTTTAACTAGCCTTTTGTCACATGTAGCTTTTAGCTAGTATTTAACTCCTTTTAACTTTTAGCTAGCACTTTTCTACCTTTTGCTGGTGTTTTGCTTCTTTTGCTTTGCCTTTTTATTCTTTTCGCTTTTGCCTATAACTTTTTGGTACATGTAGCATTTAGCTAGTCTTTTGTTGTTCTTTAGCTAATGCTTTGCTAGTGTTTTGCGTCTTTCTCCTTTTCGCTAACCTTTTTTGGTACTTTTAGTTCTTGAAAAAGCAACTAAACCTGCAGCGCCTCCTCTCAACCTGCTGTGTTTCTCTGCAGGACGCCTCCAATTTCTGCCCCGACAGCTTGAATCGATCTGAACTCACTCTGGGCCTTCAGGTCCAGAGTTAACCAGAGCAGCTGATCTGATCTGAAGGCAGGACGACGAGGATTCATTTGAATGTGGGGCGTGGAGCAGCGAGCGTCCCTCTGCTCCAGATGTTCACGTTTTCTTTTCATTTCAGAGTCTCTTCGTTTGGGTCCATGAGCTCAGAGAAGACAACCAGCAGCTGTTGACTCAAACTCAAAACAATAAATAAATAAAATCACTACCGAAGTCACAGACAATCCTCCCCTGTGAGCACCGCAGCCTCAGCCGACCCAGTTTCCCTGACAGGAACGAAAAGCGACAGCTCTACAGTCGGAGTTTCGGCGCCGTCAGCTCGGGCTTTGACCCACTTTTTCTTTCAAGAGCGGCTCAAGAATAACCAGACTATCCCTTTAAGTCCAGCTCGTCCTAATCCTCTGATCCGTCCATCAATCAGCTACTCCTGAAGAACGGCAGGAAAAATCTGCTTTCACCACAGCAGCTAGGACGTCAGCACAGGCTTAGCTTTTAGCTAGCCTTTTGGTACATTTAGCTTTAGGTTAACCTTTTGCTACTTTTAGTTGATATTTTTCTATTCTTAGCCTTTAAACGGACTTTAATTACTTATAGTCCACATTTGCTACATTTAGCTAACATTTAGTTACTTTTATCTAGTCTTCAGCTACTTTTAACTTCTAGCTACTGTTCTGCTACATTTAGCTTTTAACTAGACTTTCGAGCTTTAAGCTTTTAGCTAGACAGAAAATGTTTTTTTTTACTTTTATCTAGTGTTTTCCTTCTTAAGATAGCTTTTTAGTACTTTTAGCATTTAGATAGTCTTTTGCTATTTTAAGGTTTTAGCTGATGCTTTGATATTTTTAGCTTTTAGATACTACTTTGCTACCTTTTGCTACTGTTTTGCTTTTTATCTAGTATTCTGTTTCTTTAGGCTTTCAGCTAGCTTTTTGTTACTTTGAGCTTTTGGTTAACATTTGGCTACATTTAGCTCATAGCTAACCTTTTGCTACATTCAGCTACTTTTAACTTCTTGCTACTGTTCTGCTATGTTTAGCTTTTAACTAGCCTTTTGCTACTTCAAGCTCGACTGAAAATGCCTTTTTTTGCTTTTATCTAGAATTATGCTTCTTTTATCTAGCTTTTTAGTACTTTTAGGTTTTAGCTAGTCTTTTGTTACTTTTAGATTTTAGTTAATGCTTTGCTATTTTTAGCTTTTGGATACAGCTTTACCTTTTCTACAGTTTTGCTTTTTAAAGCATTTAGCTAGATGTTTGGTACTTTGAGCTTTTATTTAACTTTTTGCTACCTTTAGCTCATAGCTAACCTTTTGCTACATTTAGTTATTTTACCTAGTCTTCAGCTACTTTTAACTTCTTGCTACTGTTCTGCTATGTTTAGCTTTTAACTAGACTTTCTTTCTTTAAGCTTTTAGCTCACCTGAAATGCGTTACTTTGTGAGCTTTTAGTTAACCTTTTGCTAGCTTTAGCTGAAAGCTAACCTTTTGTCACATTTAACATTTAGCTAGCCTTTTGTTACTTTTAGCTTTAAGCTAATGATTTGCTTTTGGCTTTTAGCTAGTGCTTTGCCACTTTTAGCATGCAGTTTTCTTCTTTTAGCACGTACTTTGCTTTAGCTAATGGTTTTCTTTTTGCTTTAACAACTCACTTGAGATTATTTAGACAATTTTAGCTCAGCAACTTTCAGCTTTAATTTTAATTTGGCTGTCTAAAACTGGGGTGGGTGGAACCTGGGGGGCAGCAGATTTTAGAGGTGCTCTGTGCCCCCTCCCGCCCCCCTAGGCCACCCTCTTGGCCCCGCCCCTGAATAAAAAGCCATTCTTCACATTTTGTCCAGGCAGTGACCTCCTGAGCAGCTCTGCACAGCTGAGGGGCAAACATGGCTGCCTCCTCCCTTCCTCTCCCTGTCCTCCATCATCCCTGCAGCTCCGCTCGGAAATCTGAGGGATTATAATCTGCCTCAGCCTCCTCTAAAAATAGGCTCTCCAAAGCGAGAGGAACACAAAGAGACTTGGTTCAAACTCGCGTGTGCTCCACCAGACACAGACCACCGGAGCGAGACCCCCTTCTGGCGTGGACACCAGAGACAAAGACAGCAGGACGGGGACATGGAGACAGGAAAAGACGCGTTTAAACCAATGGAAGCCCAGATTTGTCCGAACCGGCGCGCTCGTGTAAAGATGCTGCAGAAACCAGGCCGGACTTGCTGGTGGACCGGTTCTGAAGCCGGTTTTAATCCCAGAGGATCTGGTTTCAGATTAAAACCCGGAGTGCTTCCTAAAAGAAGCGGCAGCAGCTTTTTGCTGCTTTCTGGTCATTTTTTATTTTTTTGTCTTGCGGCGGAGCGCAGCGGCGCCCCCGGTGCCATCCCGCATCCACACACCCGCAGGCCCAGATACAAACCCCGAACCGGAACACGCTGATCCCAACACCCCCCCCACCCCCCAACAAGGTCGGGATTCAATGAGGAACTCACAGTGATCCGGGGGATGTTCTTCTTGCCCTGGTAGCCAGACATCTTCACCGCTGCGCCTTTTTTCAAGTCGGAGGAGGATGAAGAGGAGGAAGTGGGTCACAGCTGATCCGTCAGAGACCACAACCCAAAACTATCCGAACCTGACAGCCTCCCCGGGTCTCCACCAGAGATCCTCTTCCTTCCCAGACCGAGTCAGACAAGAGCGGAGGGAGGGGTCGCTCCCACGGCGCATGCGCACAGCCTCGCCCTGCTCCATTGACAGACCAGCAGCACTAACGCCATCAATTGCTCTCAAGGATTAGTGGCGGTGGTTAGGGTGGGAGTGTGTGTGTGTGTGGGGGGGGGGAGGTGGTGAGGGGGGGGGGGGGGGGGGGGGGGGGGGTTGATCAGCACTTGGTCCAAAGTAACTGCAGCGGACAAGGCCGGACTTTCCATCAAGATTACGGGGGCAGTAGCCCAGGGCCCTAAGAGTTTAGGGCATCAGACACCCCCCCCCCAACCTCCACCACGTATACGCGAAAAAAAAAAAAAACAGTAGTTCTTGCTTTATGAATGAATGTTCCCACCCATTGTCTTTACCCACTTCCAGGACGTGGGGAGCTGGTGCGAGAGGCGGGGACACCTTGGACAGGTCAAACGTCCATCACAGGACACACGAGACACAAACCGTCCACACTCACAACTACTCACTGAAAGACGACGTGTGTTTTGTCTGGAGGAAACCCACGTCTGCACGGGTGCAACATGTCAACACCACCCTGAAAGGCCTCGGGCCAGGAGGCCATGTGTGGCTCTAACCACTGCACCACCGTGCCACAGAGGTGGCCAGTTGTCATTGTTGAAACCTCGCTGCTTGTTGGTTCTGGTGGTTTGATCCCAACAGAAATGAACAGAAACAAAAAGTCGTTTTGTGCCACCGGCCTCCAGCTGCTCCTTTTTTAAGATAAAGATGTGGAGTCGAGAGATTTACTTCCTGATGTTGACTTTTTGTAACGTAAATATGGACAAAGATCCATATGAGGAAGGAAAACTAGCAAAAGAATAAGTATTTTTATGTAACTAAAGTAAAAATGTAAAAACTTTATAAATATTGTTTCTACAGATCATTAGATCATTATTATACATTATATATAATTCTCCCCTCTACAAGTTTTATTTGATGCCACCAAAGGGCGAATAATGACAAAATGTTTCTGCTCCTGTCTGTTAGCAAAATATCTCATGAACCACTGGATGAACTTGAATAAAAATGACAGGAAAACATGATTAGACGCACCGGTATGCTTACAAGTGATTAACTGCTGGAGTCAGCGCGGTTTAAGAAACACCGGTTACAGTTCAGTCGGTGTTTCAGTTCCTGAGCTTTGGTGCGGTGGTAACTGAGACAGGTCGCACAAACCATTCTTTACATTTCTAGTTCTCTCCGTTAGCAAAATATGTAATGATCCCACACAAAACTGGCTATAAATTAAGCTTGCTGCATGTAGCTGAGGCTTATTCAAAAACCAGGTGATGTCCTGCGCTCTTTCCAGGCGTGCCAAACCCGTGACGTTAAAAAAAAAACAGTTAAAATAAGTTTATTTAAATGTTATTTATAATGTATTCTCTGAAGTATCTTTCCCCACTGCAGCCCTGCTGGGGCTAACAAGTAAATATAAATATAACTTTTATATCACTAATAGTGTCGGTGCATATTTAAATACGAGACGAGAAGCATATGTATGTTTTTGCTGATCAATATGTAACATGACTCAGAGCTTTTAACGGCAGCCTGAGATTTTTAAAATGAAATTAAAAACTATAGAGAAACTGCATTTCCTGGAAAAATGCAGTGTGAAAGCTTATTGCTGAAGAACTTGCTGAAAAACAGTTAAAAATATGCTGAAAAGTAGCTGAAATATGCTGAAAAGTAGCTGAAAAGATAGAACAAGCCTTAATTAGCAGACAAAAGCAGAAATAATACATATTTGTTGAATTGAGTTTAAATAGGAAGAAATGAGTGCAAAAACGAGGAAAGTAGCTAAAAAAAGAGGCTTAAATTAGCATAAAATAGCTGAAAAGTATCTGAAAAGGCTGAAAGAAGCTTAAACTACCAAAAGGAAGTGGAAAGAGCTGAAATTAGCTTTAAAAAATTGTGGAATTAGCTGAAAAGGCTAAAATTAGCATTAAAACAGCTAAATAGTAGCTGAAATGGCAGAAAAAACTTAAGGGAGCATAGCAAGCTGTATTTAACATACTGAAGTTAATTAGGCTGAAAGTAGTAAAAATTACCATGAAAATTTTGAATTTATCTGAAAACAGTTGAAATTAGCTAAAAAAAATGCTGAAATGTAGCTGAAAATGAAGAACAAGCCTTAATTAGCAGACAAAAGCAGAAATAATACATATTTGCTGAATTGAGTTGAAATAGGAAGAAATGAGTGCAAAAACGAGAAAAGTAGCTAAAAAAAAAGAGGCTTAAATTAGCATAAAATAGCTGAAAAGTGTCTGAAAAGGCAGAAAGAAGCTTAAACTACCAGAAGGAAGTGGAAAGAGCTGAAATTAGCTTTGAAAAATTGTGGAATTAGCTGAAAAGGCTAAAATTAGCATTAAAACAGCTAAATAGTAGCTGAAATAGCAGAAAAAAACTTAAGGGAGCATAACAAGCTGTATTTAGAATAATGAAGTTAATTAGGCTGAAAGTAGTAAAAATTACCATGAAAATTTTGAATTTATCTGAAAACAGTTGAAATTAGCTAAAAAAAAAAATGCTGAAATGTAGCTGAAAATGAAGAACAAGCCTTAATTAGCAGAAGAAAGCAGAAAGAACACGTTTGACCAATTAGGCTGAAAAAAGCAGAAACGAGCACAAAAAAGTTTAAATTTATCTGAAAACAGTTGAAATTAGCAACAAATAAAACAGCTAAAAGTAGCTAAAAAGCAGAAAGAGGCTCAAATTACCAGAAGGAAGTGAAGACAACAATTTTTGCTTAATCAGGCTGAAAAAAGTTGAAGTTAGTGCAAAATGTGGAGTTAAAATCTAACATTAATATAAAAACTGCTATAGCTGAAATAGTAGAAAAGGCTTAAACTTACAGAAATACGCTGAAAGCAGCTAAACAAGCTGAAATTAGCAGAAATAAGTTAGAGGAAACACAAAAATGTTAGCGTCTGAAAGGAGCACCAAACAGCTGAAATTAGCTGAAAAAATTAAATTGGCAGAAGAAAGCTGAAGTACAACAAAATATTAAAGGAGCAGTAAAAACATTAAAGATTTGAAGGATGTAAAATGAGCTCATTTCATTTTCTATGAGAAAAATGGCAGAAAAGGTTAAATAGTTCAAAAAGCTAAAGTTGCACCAATACCAAGTCATGGCAGGATTGTCCTGAAAGAGCCGAACGTTTTGATTTACGATTTGTTGAAATAGTTTAAAGCTTCATAAACATTCAGACAATAAAAGGTTCTGGGGGTGAATATTTAACTCTATCTGAAGAAGACGTGAAACATGCAGGTTTTCCTGCAAGTCATGCAGACCCACACCCTCCTGTGCTGCACAGAACCTGAAACCTCTACAAAATGACACTTTAAATAAAGTTTATTAACCGAACTCATGTCATGTTCCGGGTTTTAAGTCCATGTTTGCATCCAGGAGCCCTGCACGAGTTTGATTCACCCTCAGAGGAGCACTGAAGTCCAACAGGACCACTCCCTCTGGCTCCTCTGCATGATGGGCCCTCTTTTTACAGACGCAACGCGGTGCTTTGTGGGAAATGTAGTGTGATCGAGTTGTCTGGGCGCTCCGAGAGGAAATAAGTCAGAAGAGTGCAGTTTTAGACTGGACTGCAAAAATAAACTGAGGGCAGAGGTTGAAGCGCAAACAGACGAGAAGAAGAGAAAAGGAGGTGGTTTGTGGGGGGAGGTCTAAAATAAGGAGGTGAAAGTGAAAATTACCTGGTTATTGTCATCCAGGTTCTGGAGCGCCTCCTTGCCGGAGCTCTCCCGGATCTCCACCTTCCTCGGCTGCTTGGTGACTCCTGCGCGCGCCGGCAGCGCAAAGTCCAGGGTCTTCCCGTCCGGGGAGCCGTCCACGGGGCAGAACACGCCGCAGAATTTCTGCCTGGGCCTGGGGGGGCTGTCAGAGCCCGCGAGGCTGTGGAGGAAAGGAGGCGCAGCGCCGGTGGTCGACATGCCTCTTGTTGTTGCAGCTCGGAGCAGAGCAGGAGGTGACAAAAGAGAGGAGAGTCCGCGGGGCTGGACCCCCCCGCAGCGCTGATGGACACGCGACAAAACTGATCCGCCTACAACCCCCTCATCCACCCATCCATCCTCTGAGGGGAGACCCGGTTCTCTCTCCCAACGAGCCGCGAGAGGCGGAGATTTCCTGGATTCCCTGACTGGAAGGGTCCGAGCTGCTCGGTGGGTCCCTGAACGTCTCACCGGAGATGCGTGTCTGTGAGGTGCGCGCGATCAGTACCCTGGAGAGCTCCTCACAGTCCCACCCAGTCCGGGGCGCTGTCCCTTCAGCACCATCACCTGCAGGACCGGCTTACTGATTAATAACCCTCAAAGATGAACCCTGAGTTCCTGTTACAAAACACGAGATTAAAATAATAATAATAATAAATAACTCACGAGTTTGTTTTTGTTTCGTTCACTGAAACATAAAAAAAACAGTCCAAACATTTTATAAAACGTTTCGGACTCTTTGTCGTTTTTATTTCCTCAACGTTACAACAAAAAGTGATTTTATGGAGGATGACTCGGCACTCACAGTTTTGACTTTAGCTAGCCTGTTGCTACTTTAGGCTGCCGTTCTGCTCATTTTAGCTACTGTTCAGCTTTGTATTTTATTGACTAAAATTGTTCATTGTAGCTTTCATTTATTACATTTAGCTTTTAGCATTTAGTCTCTTTTAGCTAACATTTTGCTACTTATAGTTTTAGCTATCATTCTACCCCTGTAGCTTTTAGTCATTATTTAGCTATTTTTAGCTTTTATCTACTGTTCTGCTTGTAGCTTCTATCCTTTCACTACTTTATCTAGCTTTTTGCTATAAACAGCCTTTTGCCACTTTTACTTTTAGCTACTGTTGTGCTAGTTTTATCTTTGAACTAGCATTCTCTTTTGCTATTTTAGCTATTGTTTGGCTTTCATAGCTTATAGTGTTCTGGTTTTTAATTTTAGGTGTTCTGCTTCTTTTAGCTTTTGTCTTCTGATTCTTGAAACTTTTAGCTAATGCCCTGCTGTTTTAGCTAGTGTTCTGCTTTCTTTAGCTATTTTTCTGCTGCTTTTTTTTAGCCAGTTATGCTTTATTTAGTTATTTTTCTGCTTTTTTCTTTTTG